AGACCCTCAGCCTGTCATAGTGCTTGAGTGTCAACTGAGCTGACGTGAAGATTGATGCATCTAACTGCTTTCTAGTAACGTTATCATATACAATTAATAGTTGATCGACACGTTGCTAATCTTAGTAAATTGCCATTTATTTTGATTGGTGCAAAAAAAAAAGTCTCTTTGGAAATATTAAGATCTGTATGTGGTTCCCATAGTATTGGAACACCTGGACGTGTCTGGAAATCCCAATTTTCGAATTTCCAAAAATAATCTACCTAAAGAAAGAAAGAAGAAGGTAATATGATGTCTTTAAGTGGTTCCCATCCTTGAAGTATAGTTTTTGGACCTTTTAAAATGGTCGTTTCCTGGTTATTATTATTATTAATCCTTTCAAATTTCCCAAAACTATTTAGAACAGTAAAATGACCATTTAAATTGAAAGTTGTTCCCATGGTAATGGAAATTCTGGAAATATAATTTTTGGAAATGTATAATTCTCATTATTATGGGAGCCCCATATAGATTTTTAATTTTATAATTTTTGGATTTTACAGTTGTGATTTCCTTATTTCCATAACTTCCATTACTATGCGAACTGCATACAGAGCTAAAATTGTATTTTTAACATTTAATTAATTTTTACATTTTGGAAAAATGTAATTTTCTGATTAAATTTAAAGGGGTCATATGATGCTTTTTTAAAGATCTTCTGTTGTAAGTAATCTTAAAGATTCCTAAATGCATCTACTTTCTGAAGGCCAAATAAAGTGCTTTTGCTTTCGCCTAGAAACACACAGCGTCTCCCTGACATGGCTGCTTCAACAACACTAACTGCGGTTACTGAAACCACGCCTTCTTTCTTTGCGTGAACATTTGGGTGGCATTATGCAAATATTTCCACATAGTGAGGTAGATATGTGGGGGCGTGTTAGAACGAGCCGTTTTAGGGGGGCGTGGCAGAGTCTTAACTTTGATAAAGAATATCTCTTTGGTTTTGAGACTTTGGTCTTTGCAACTTCAGGGATCTTATCTATGCACAATCAGCTTGTAACACTCCAAAGAGAAAGGAAAACTTGAAATCGCATCATATGACCCCTTTAAAGTAATAACAATCTTAATTTTAGCATATGCAAGAAATGGCTCTCCTGGAGTAGAATTTGTATAAAAACTAAATTAAAATTATTAAATTACTCACGAACAACTGGAAAATGAATGGAAAAATGTTTGGTCAGAAGGTGTAGGATGTTAAATTATGATCTATACTCTTAATTATTAAAGTATTTCCATTTTTACATGACAGACTAAGAAGAGAAGGAACAACGGACGTGCAAAGAAGGGCCGGGGTCATGTCCAGCCCATCCGCTGCACCAACTGTGCCCGCTGTGTTCCCAAGGACAAGGCCATCAAGAAGTTTGTCATCAGGAACATTGTGGAAGCCGCCGCTGTGAGGGACATCTCAGAAGCTAGTGTGTTTGACTGTAAGTGACTGCTTTAACTACCAAAACATTGTCAAAGTTTTATTGTGCGCTCTTCCATATAATTTTTTATTCCTTCTCACTCCTCCTATGTAGCGTACGTATTGCCCAAGCTGTACGTGAAGCTGCATTACTGTGTTAGCTGTGCCATCCACAGCAAGGTGGTGCGAAACAGATCCCGGGAGGCCCACAAGGATCGAACACCACCTCCCCGATTCAGGCCTAGTGTAAGTACACTGAAATTCTGTTGCAGGCTAATCTATAATAATTAGTAGGGTTACAGTGCATGCATTGTATTTTGTTGTTACTTGGTGTTTATTTGCATCTCAGCATTTTCTTTTGTCTGTTTTTTTTCCTGCACAGGGTGCTGCACCCAGAGCTCCTGCAAAGCCCATGTGAAGCAAATTAACGGTCACATTCTGTGCATTTTATGCAGGAAAATAAAAAAAATATCTAAAACAGGTCCTGGTGTTTCATTGTTTTGATTGTTACTGCATGATGGTTTGAGTGTATTTGTTACTGCTCTGTAGTTTGAGTTTGGAGCTCTGTCAAGTTTAATTCTAAATCCTTCATTTTTCATCTTATCAAACTTAATTTCTGTTGTTATTATAATAGGTGAAAATATCCCCAATATTATTTTACATCAACTTTTTTTTGAGCTTGGTCATAATATTAAATTAATTAATATTAGCAGTCAGTGTTGTTTTATATATTTTTCATAGCACTTAAAATAATAATAAATATATTAAAATATTGTTTCTCAAATAAATACAACTCAAAGGAATAATAGGGTTCTTTTAATACAGTTAACATTTCGCCTGTATGAATTATAGCAGAAGTGTTTAGTAATAGCTACATTATATGAAATAAATCTGAAAAAAAAAAAGCTGAGGATTTAAGATACTTCAATAAAATAACATTCATATTTTAAATCATTTTAAATAAGTTCATATGATGAATAAATATCCTTCTTGCTAGTTTAAAGCAATTATAAGTACAGGACAGACTATGCATAAGGAAACACTATTATTATAAGCTCAGATGTACAAAGGTCAGGTTTTGTACAACTGCACCTCTAACCTTGTTAGTGCAGTCAGGCACAGTATCTCATAATCTGAAGATTGTGACTTCAAGATTGGCTTGTCTGCATATATCAGATAATATACCCATATATTATATAAATATTTACATGCACACTTGTTAGTGCATTTACTTGCATCCAAACAGCTATGGCCACTCTTAGACAGAAAGGTGGCAGTTATGAAAGTCTAATATCTGTAAATGGGTTCATTAAATCAATTAGATTGTCCCAAATACAAAATAAATAGTTAAAATAAGTAAAGAAATTACAGAATAAGATTACATTTTTATTATGAAAGAATATTTAAAAGAAATGGTACAGCAATGTTTTTATCAGCATCGGGTAGCACTGTACTTATTTACCATCTGTTACTGTAGGATTTTGAAAAGTGCTGAGTATCACTAAGTCCCAGTGATCTCCTTAGTGAGGTGTGAGTTCATTAATCAGTCAGACACGCACAGCAGCCTTGACCGGAACAATGGAAATAAACCAACTCAATTAAAATGGCTACAGTTAATTAATTAGTTATATTGAAATCATTTAAATAAGGCATCCTTGTAAACCTCAGGTATTAAAAAGAGACTGAAAACTAATTAAGCCGCTGCCAATTTCAATTCTTCAGGCTTTATTTGCCAGGCAAGGCCAAAAAAAGAGGACGCACCGAGAAGAGGCCTGCCTCTACAAGTTGGAAACTTCATTACAAAAGCAATTTTCAAAGGCCTGACTTTTAGAGAGCATTACGCAGGATGGCAGAAGGTGACGGAGCTGTGGAGGAGCGGGAGATAGAGACACAGGAGATAAACAGTGATGAGGAAGCCCTCCTCCATTTTGGCAAATACAGCGAGGCTCGGGCCGCAGTGCCATGGGAGCAACGCACATTCAAAGAAAAGGTGCTCTACCACGTGGATCGGATCTTCCTGAGTTTTCTTGCACTCTTTTTGCTGGTACTCTTAGGAGATTTCCTGTATAAGATCTGGTATGTGACCAGCTGGAGGAAAACCCTGGAGTCTATTCTGGAAGTTGTGTCGTACCTCTTTACACAAGAGAAGGATGAAGAGCTAATAGAATTGTAACGTAGACGTTTCTGAAATACACATCTGTTTTCCTTGATCGCCTTCTACATCAAGATGGAACTGAAACTGAATCTAATTCTAGGACCCTTTCAATAAAGTATAAAAGGTTGTGTTGATTACCTGTACAATTGTGAAATCTGTTTGATAACCTGAGTCAGTGTTTGTGATTGCTGTGTTTGACATTTTGAGGTTTTGTTCCTGTGAATAAAAAGCTTCTAGATCTATTCATGTTGTATTCTTTTAATGTGGTTATGTCAGGAGCTGCTTGTTTTACTTTAAGTATAGCTGCTGTTCTAATATTTGGCTATGATGTGTCATGAATTACCTTTACAAGTTCAAGAAAGGGTTCTTTACAGCAGAATGTGGAAGATATGTCATGTCTCATTCCTTTGATTCTCACCTGTACTAATAAAAGAAAAAGTAGAGATGAGACAATTAATTAAACATTAAAAAGCATCAAGGTCAGAATGGGGTTAAGAGGGTTAAGGCCATTAAATGGCATCAAAAGTGACAAAAGGCCAAATAATAGAAATGACTTTTTTACTACTACCTTTCAGCTACCTTTTTAGTTTCATACTGTCATTTTAGAAGATTTAGCTGTTCATATTTTAAAGTGTCTATTCACTATATGAGGTGCTGCTGTTGAATGTGTAGCTGTTAGCTAAATAAATTTAGACTTAAAACGTTATAATTTGAAATAGTTAACAAACCACAACTGTTAAGAAAATTTAAATTGAATTTTATGTATTAAATAACCAAGTTTGACAAATTGATGGCATTGGGTATTTAATTGTTTTTATTATTTTTTTTAAAGGAAAACGCTAGGGGTAAAAATTCCCTCAAATCAACATATTGCCTAAAGTCTAATTCCCGATACTGATTCACACTACCATGGCTGTCACTATTTTTTTTTTTTTTTTACTCAAAGAATAATAACATACAATATTTTATCAAGAAACTAAATTCTAAAAGAAGAAAAGGAAAATAATAATAATAAAAAAAGATAGAAAGACACATTTCAATAAATAAAAGTTGCCAGGGGGAGGTAAGTATTACAATACAAGATATACATACAAACACGTATAGGCTACATATATATATATATATAAATCAAATAAATATAAAGTGCACAAGCTTTCAAAGTTCTTACAGCTTTCTTCGTCAAAGTGTCTCTGATGTTGTCAATATATATACATATTTCAGTCAACAAAACCATAAACTTGGATTTCTTATTGGTAAATTTACACTTATGAATGTGAAATTTGGTCAACAGTAAATCACGGCTGTCACACTCACAGCGTTGACAGAACGCCATGAACGAGGAAAAAATTGTAGCCAATCAACGTTTGCTATTTTGACAGGGCGCATCATGCAGCCAATCAGATCATCGCATACTGCGACGTTCTTCCGCTATTTCCCTCCACTCGTCCTCTCTTTTCTGGAAATTGCAGCGTGACCGACGTTTCGTGTCTTTCGCAGACTTAAAGTATGTTCTTATTGACATTTTACCACTAAATCTGGCTTTGACGTGTCGTTTATATGTTAAAATGGTCAAAGTATGTTTAGGTAGTATTTGTGATTAAAACGCAGCTGTATTTCCCCTTCTGTAAGCACATGCAATGTGATATAGCCATACTCCATTTTGTTTCCTTGGGTTTCGGAATAGAAATATGGCAGAAAGTAATTATAATTAATAACACAATATGTCGTGAAGGGCTGAAAAATGTGCTGTTTATTTGATTTATATTTTAAAATGTAAATGTCTCTAACTCTAAACAAAGCATGAATAACACGCTTGATAAACCCTGTCAGCTGCTTGATGTGAAGTTCAGTCCGGACTTGGAGGGTTACATTCAATCTCTTCTATAATTTATTATTTCAATCGATATCTTAGGTTAATGCGTACAAGTGCTGTTTCAGAACTTTTAGGACAACAAGGAGCATCCGCGTGTCCTAATGGTTTGTGTTTAATTTAATTCAATTTGCATGCTCAACAGTGCAGAATGCAAACACAGTAGAAACAAGAGCAACACAGCATAAGCTCTGGTTCCTTCACTTATTTATGCCTTGTGTTTTCTCAGCTGTTGACAGAAACACTGTTCAGAGATCTCTCACAATTCCAGCCACTATTCACGATTTTTTTTTTTTTTTTTTGTAATTTAATACCATTTTCCAAAAATATAGTATTCTTAGTGAGACCAATTTAGACAGTCTTGAGTTTTTTCTCCTATTGGAGCTGCTTTTGATATATACTGAACAAAATTATAAACGCAACACTTTTGTTTTTGAAAGGAGAAGTGCTCACTAACACAGATTTAGACAGATTTGTGAACAATATTTGAGAGAAATAGGCCTTTTGTCTACATAGAAAAAGTCTTAGATCTTTGAGTTCAGCTCATGAAAAATGGGGGCAAAAACAAAAGTGTTGCGTTTATAATTTTGTTCAGTGTATATTAAAATATTAAATGAAATGTTATTACATTATAATTTAATATTATAAATTAACATTTTAAACATGTTTTAACGTACATAAAAATATTTAATAAATTTTTTTGTCAATATTTTTATATATTTGGTCAAAATTATTCTTTAGATCATATGAATAGAAGATGACTGTAAACAAACCCATTAATCAGTTGTAATATTTGTAACTTCTAGAATGCGTTACGTGGCCGCTTACCTGTTGGCTGTTCTGGGGGGCAACAACAACCCATCCGCCAAAGACATCAAGAACATCCTGGGGAGTGTTGGAATCGAGGCTGATGATGAGCGTCTTAACAAGGTGGATCCTGGTTCGAATAAACCTGTTTTTAAATCTTCATCTCAATTTAAATGATTTTTGTTAAACAGTTGTTTTAAAGTTAAACATCTTAACATTTATGTTTAATTGGTTTTCTGCCTTACAACCATTTACCATATTTAATAAATCTCTTGGGTATATTCTATTAATATTATTAGTTATTATAAGGAATGCAGTATAGTTCTGATGGTTTTGCACATGCAACTCTGTTGCCCTTGTTTCCTTGTTCTTAATCAGTAAGATGGATGCTCACATAATGCAGCTAATTTCCCCAAATGAGTCAATCTCGCTGTTTTTGTTGTTACTCAATAGGTCATCAGTGAACTGAATGGCAAAGACATCAATGAAGTCATGAATGCCGGTAAGGCTGCATTGCCTTTACAGTTTGACCTACATAATATTAAAATCATGTGAGCTACGAGTTCTTCATAAGTCTCACTCTGTTGTTTTACTTTTGTTTTCCCACAGGTCTCTCTAAGTTGGCCTCCGTTCCAGCGGGTGGTGCAGTGGCGGTCTCTGCCGCTGCCACTGGTGGAGGTGGGGCCGCTCCTGCTGGGGAAGCACCTGCAGGTGGGTAGTTTAATTAACCTGCTACCAAGGTTGTTATAGAAAACTGAAACAAATCAAAAAACCAAATCAAACCAAAAAAACTAAAAATGTCTAATTTTCATTTAGCTTAACTTGATGTACTAAAATAACTAAGCTAAAACTGAAAAACAAAAAAAACTATGTAGACATTAAAAAAAAAAAAGACAAATACACATCAAAATGAATAAAATTTAGAGAAACATTGAAAATATAAAAATAAAAACTAATAAAACTATAATAGTATTAATGATAAAAAATAGCACTGCCTCATTCCATTTAATTCCAATTTGATGACATACGTTCTACTGAAAAATATATATTTTTTAAAGGGGTCATATGATGTTGCTAAAAAGAAAATTATTTT